TTTGTCGCTAACAGCACTGTTTTTTCCGGCAGATGCTTCTAGCTAAAAGAATTTCAGACTGGCCGCAAGGACCGTCAGGAAACATCCCTTCAAAATCCTAGTCTTATAGCTTCTCAGGTCCCCGAGTTAGCAACTTACCCGAAAAAAATTTCACAGGCCCATGCATGGGAATGACTCATAGCCGGGGCTAGGTTTGAACTCATTAATATCTATGTAAATGGGGAACATTCGCTTAAAATTCCAGTCTTCTAGCTTCCCAGGTTTCCGAGTCATAAACTTACCCCAAAAAAACTTTCACGGGACTCCCATCCAGAATTTGAAAAGCTAGAAGACTGTAATTTTAAGATATTCCCCGTCACTCAGGTCTCATTAAGCTCACACCCAGCTCCCGGTGTGAGCTCAATGAGACCTAAGTGGACGGGGAATATCTTCTTAAAATTACAGTCTTCTAGCTTTTCAAATTCTCGAATTAGCAACTTACCCATAAAAAATTTTGACGGGCTCGCACGTGGGTACTACGCATACCCGGAGGCTAGGTTTGAGCTCATTAATACCTATTTGGACTGGGAACGTCCCCTTAAGACTTCAGCCTTCCAGCCTTTCTGGTTCTCGAGTTAGCAGCTTGCCCGTAAAAAAGGCTCATACGTGGGTACCGCGAGAGTAAAGGTGCCCATTTTGGGGATCGGGGCCTGTATGTGCATGTAGATTAAGTTCCCTAAGTTTCAGCCCTATAGCTTTTATAGGTCTTGAGACGAAAAATCGGTACAGACGCACATACAGACACACGGACACACAGACAACCCCTCGTCAATATGCGTTTTCTGCATTGCATAGCTGCAAAAAGCGCATAATGAGTGCAACAGAAGATGGGCAGAAAGAGAGGGAAGCAGTGGGAGGGAGAGAAGGACGTAGAAAAGTAATGCATCAGCAAAGTGTTGCAAAGGAGGAAAAAGTATGAAGTTCGAAACCATTCCTGTGCTATGAAGTTCACCAAAGAACAGTTTGGCTTCGACTGAATTCAC